CGAATGTTGCATCAGAATCGTTAAAAAAGCTACGGTCATAACTAGTCCTTTCAACGGAAGCTCAGGTTGGAAAGTTCGACCACATAAAAATCGTTGCATCGAGTTAAACCACGCGATGCGCCGTAAGCCATTACAGGATCCTTCATTGAGACCGCGCCCATATTCTTGTACTGTATAATACTCGTTGATAATAAACTGGATTCTTTCTTTGCAACAAACTAACACCGTTTACTTTAACAAGTGAAGAAAACACATTTTTTTCGCCATTAAATAATTGCAATTTCCTTAATTTTTTATTATTAAATGGTCGAATGGCAGTATTATAGTTCAAAATGCAATTTTTTAGATCATAGATTAATTTTTCGATATTTTATTTTTAGAAAAAAAGAAAAAGATAACGGAATTGATTAAAATTAATTGACATTAGTGTAATTGACACACGAGTCATTCAACCACTCGCAAGATTTAAATGCGATATTTGTCACAATGGTTCACGCACACCTGTATTTGCAGAGTAATGCAAATTGTGCGGTTATTTTACAATAAAACTTATTGATGTCTTTATTTTGGCAGGCATTTGTCGTGGAAGGGTCGGAGTACTTACGGTGCTCCAAGTTCCACGAGGTGTCGCGATGCGTCGTGAATCCAGCATCGTCGGCGCCGCATCGACCGCGAAATTGCCTGCTTCGACTACTTGTTTGACGGCATCGTTTGTTCAACCGGCAGCCGCGATCGGTGGGGAGCAGAGATATCTCTTACACCGTTCACCTGCAGAGATTGTGGCTAACAGTACGGAATTGACGGTAACGTAGAAAAGCATGGTTGTTATAAGCGGCCTATACACCACGCCCGGTCTAGCCCGCGAGCTGGGGCGGTGCCACCGCCGTAGAATCGATATCTGTTCACTCTTACCGGATTTTATTTACCGGCAGAAAACTGGGAGGGAAGAGACATTGGAATCAAAAATAAAATTGCTGCGTGGGGCGAGCAGGAAGTGAAATTGATAACGGCGAATTGTCTATAATTGATGCGCTCCATTTCACGGTTGGTTACTGCGATCGGAATTACTTTTAAATTCTAATTCGTGCTAAAGCGATATTTTCGATTTAGCGAGAACAATAAATGTTTCATACAGTCCATTCTTCTTTTGGATTAAATATATAACTGAACTATATATCGATTACAGTATATCGATAAGTATATATTGCGCCGTATAAAAAAAGAAAGAAAATGGAAATCAAAATGAATTTCGGCCTTTAATGTATCTTATAGGCGTCATCGGTCTATCGCTTATTAATTTTACCTAATAAGTTCATCTATGAAAGTTAGAGTGCAGCCTAAAATGTAAAAATTGAGTTCCCAATTTTAACTGACATTAAATGGCAACATTAATGCTCCGTCAGTGCAATTATGCTGACGTAATTTTCTGCAATCTAATTTTCATCATCGCGCAGATACGAGAAATTAAAGCTTCTAAGGCTTTAGCAAAGTTAAAAAAATGCAGCTTTTGAAATTTTGTCTTGATTATATCTCATTCTATCTGCGCGAGAAGTGACCATTGAGGCACATATAAAACTTGTGCCAAGCGGATTGCATTAGCGCTCTACATTTTTATAAGCTACGTGACATATTACAACGTAATTATTGAGAGCGACGGAAGTGAAATAATGAAAACTTGAACTTTCGGGATTCGCCTCGCCCCGCTTTAATCCGATTTAGACACGCGTCCTGAATTACAGTTAATTCCCGTGCTTGTAACGCCGTAGTTAATCGAGATTCTACGACGCGCCGCTTTTACAGGATGCGTCCCTCTTATTATGGATGCATGTCGAAGTCCCTTTATCTGGTGTAGCGTCCAGAAAAAGGTAGGATTACACGTGTGACGAGGCTACCAAGATAGGTGCATCGCACCCGCCGTATAACGATAAAAAGCCGCGCCTTGCAGCGGAGCAAAAAGGGCGTCCCTTACCGGCAAAACAAACACGACGTCGGCAATAAAACGTAAAGCAACCTTTACGGCATAAATAGGGCGAAAGAGCATCTAATGGGTTCACCGTCGTTCAACAGAGTGATAACTCTCGTAAATATTCTATGATATAAACCTTATTCACATCTTATTCGGCGATTATTTCAGAATCACTCGAAAATAGTAAGAGTTCGATATCTTGGTTCAATTTCACCACAAATCTAATATTTGCAAACATTCAGTTATTGAGACTATTAATAATTAGAATACAGAAAATCCTACGCAAGTGCATTACAGCATTAGGTAATGCAGAGTAAATAAAAAATAGAATTGCCGAGAGTTTCTTTTTAGGATATTTTATCTTTGCCACGTACTGTGAATAAAAAAAGCCCCGATAACAGATATTACTTACGGTTAATACCGAATTACCGAACCTACCGATAATATTATTAACGAGCTCTGCTTTTGCCTTGCAATCAATATATCGGATTTCTTTCATCGCCAATAATATCAACGACATCGGCGCCACGAGAGTGTCATTATTCTCGCGGAGACGCCCACCAGACATCGACGTCATCGAATAAACCCAAAATCAATTTCTCCGGCAAGGATGATAGGCTTTTTGCACAATGTCTCTCCGGTGGTCCACAGGGCAAAACAGTCATTTTTATGTTACCAATGTTATCTGAGGATTTCTCGAAAGACAGAATAGGTCATATGAGTAATTTTTCATTTATTTATTTTAAAGCAACGCTATGATATTAAGAATAGCAAGTATTGAAAATGAATAAAAAAGGCTGACGAAGAAGGAAATAAAAGATTGAAGAAATTGCACTTACTGAAAAGAAACAAAAATGTAATTTAGCGCTCATTTCAAGCAAACTGGCGTATGTGTAATAAATTAAAGCGTAAAATTTAATTTTTATTGTGTAATATAAAACTGATAAAAAGTATATATTTATAAGAATTTAATTGACTTATTTAAAGTTTAATTATAAAATTTTACTCTGAAAATATATTAATATTTCGATAATATAAAGTATATGAATTTAAGAATTTATGGTTTTCTAAATAAAGTTATTTCGCGATTTCGAAGTTTAAACATAACATTTTTGATGGTTTATTCAACAATGATTAAGATTTTACTCGAAGTAATGTCTGATAAGAGTATGTAGAAAATAGGCTTCGGTAAATTTATAATTTTTGCAGCGAAGAGATATGAAGTATTTATGACACGTAGCAAATACAACATAAGTGCTATCTCAAGGGTACTCTTCTCCCTTTTAGTTTCCATCACTCACCCCTCCTACTGCTACCGGTTCTTGATGCACCATCCCATTTCGTGTCATATCTCACCCAATCCACGTCGGCCGTTTCCGATTAACCTTCTATCATATTTTCTTGTATACTTTATACTGGCATATTTGAAAAATGAGTACCCCTTAAATGGCAATTATGGATAGAACAAACAATAGATAAAGTAAATATAAAACAATAACAAGTGTGAATACCTTATCGTGCAATTTTATTTGCGTGATTTTTACTTGAAGTCGGTGAAGTATAATTTGTTATATAATTTAGATATATTTTACATATTTCAATCAGATTGTGAAAATATTATTTACATATATTTATTAATTATAAGATGACTAGTTATCTTTGTGGTAAAGTCATTACTTATTTTTTGAAAATTGATTTTCACATTTTTATTAGACAAAAAATTAACTAATTTTATTTCATAAATTTATAACGCATTTAATTTTGCGAGAATTAAACTTTTTTATACTTAACCAAAGGAGGATTACTAGGATTACACTTTTCTATCATTTTTTATAAGCTCTGACATTATTTTCGTTTATTTCAATTTATGCTGCATTACGAAAGCAACACTATTATAATTTTTTGTAACGAAAATAAATGTTTTTCTTTCCAATTTATATTATTTATCCTTGCAATATAAGCAAAGGATAAAAAAATTAATGAAAAATCTTAGAAAATTTTAGTTTAAACTTTGATATTATATTATGATAAAGTTGAATAGATTTTTATATTTTGGAAATATCACATAATATTGGCAATGCAATTGCAAATATAAAATATACATTTTTTAGAATTTTAACAGTACTTAGATACAATAGTGCAGATCTCATTGGTTATTTCTTCTCCGATCTCTTCTTATCGATTCCCGATATATCTTTGCATTTTATGTTCCATGTTGTTCAATCCAATACAATACAATCCAATTAGTTAAATCATACAATGCATAGTAATAGTGTATATAAGAAGGAGTTATTATAGAACTTGTTATGGAAAATATTAGGTATATATATCCACTTTGCCAGTATTGCATAAAATGTCTCTCCAGATTTTATCGTTCTAGTTTCCATTTTTAATTCCGCTATTTTCGAATTACCCGTTTTTTTGTTTAATAGTACATCTACAGATTTTTTTGTATAATATTAGTAATTTTTTTAACAAAGCTCGCACTCTAATATTAGATCTAATAGTAATGTTATATCTTTAGAAAGCAAAAATTTCTTTTTTTATCATTTTATTATTGCAGCTCTTTGAAGTTCTTTACTCTGATTGTGAGTAAATTTTATTTATCTCGTCCAGATATGGCGGTGTCAGGATCTAATTTAGGCAAGTGTGTGTGTGTTTGGTATTTATTATCGGGAAAATTTTTTGCTTTCAAGGGATTTTTTTATTATCTTAACTCCAGGATCTAATTTCCGATATCCTTTCTGATTTTTGCCGTCTATTTGTGAGGAAAGAAAAGATCATGCAGGACGTTGGACGTAACAGTAACAATGATAAAGAAATAACAATTCACTTATTATTTAATTTAATTGTTTAATTTAATTATCCATGTTGATATCACTTATTATTATATTTATGATGATATTATAATGAGTTGTAATCACATATTTTTTTTGTGACTTATTTTTCTAATATTTGCAACATTAACGATATTATGAATAACTAATAATGTAGAAAATTAGATTTTTTCAAATTTATATTACTTTGATGCGCCTATATGTGTATTGTGATCATTTATTTTATATGCGCGGGCGAAATTATCGACATCGGTAAGGTCATGTCGCGCCGTCGAAATCAGGTTACTGTTTGCATGCATCGCGTTACTTCATGTTGTACCTCGGCCAATTCGTGGAAGGTTCATCCTCCGTGCCAAAAGTTCCGGTGTAGTCCGCAGGATTCCCGGGGTGGTCGGATGGAGGTGCGTTATATCTCCCGAGGGCCAAGTCGATGAGGGAGAAACTGCATCCGGGAAACATGGTGACGCAGTCCTTGCCTTCGTAGCCGGCTTTATGTGCCCGAGTGTACGTGTGATGCTCCTGCGGCTCGAAGGAGAACACTTTCTTTAACGGAAGTCTGCAATGAGAGACGAAAAGGGTCGCGTTTAGTTTGCGAATCATGTATTGACCTGCCTACGTGACGAATTATATATCAAAGAGCCGTAGAAAATTGACAGAGAGAGATTCATTTTTTGTATTATTCGTGAGATATTATTTTTGAAATATTGTTCTGAAAGGATGGTGGAATGATTTCTCAGAAGGCAACCTTTCGTAGAACCCTTCCTTAAAGTTTCGCGAATTGCGTGTTCTTATGTTAGTTGAGATGATCAGCAGACTGCTCGTAATAGTCCATTATGGGATAATCGAGGGAGTATTTCCACGAGTTTGTTGGATAGCAAGAGCTATTTTAAACCGTGCTCGTGTTTAATCCGTCATCGTTTGCGTCGTGAGAGAGTCATAATGATATTTTATTGTTTGTAGAAAGATCTTTTGTTCCATTTTTCTTCCAATTTAGATAAAATCGAAGAAAAAATAACGAAAGTTAGCATTTTAACAAACATTTTTCTATGTTAAATAATTTTATATGAAAAATTAAAAATCTAATTAAAAAGTTTGTTAAATGGAACATATTTAAGTTACATTATTCAATTTGATTGCACATTTCTGAGACGCTAAAGTATACAAAAACATTTAACTTATTTTAGATACATTTCTTATAAAACTATTATTTATTTATGACAAGAGGACATATAATGTTACGTAGGATGTTTTAAAATAAATAGGTCAAGTAATAGCAAAATAACAATCGAACTATCGAAGCATCAATAGCTTTCGTGCTGTAAACGGTCGAAAGTGAAGGGTTTTTCACGAACGAAGTGAGAGGACAAATAGCTAACAAAACTATAAAATTATATTGATCAGTTCATGTCAAGTGGAAAATAACCGAATTTAAATTTTCAGGCTATTGAAACATGAAACAAATTTGCAATAAATTTTAGCATTCTTTTTACTGTTTTTTTCCACATTATTTATTACAAAATTTGTAATTGAAATATAATTTGTTTTCTCTCTTTTTTTTTATTTGCATTTTTTAAAAATTGTGTAGCGTTTGATATTTATAAAGTAAAATGAAGAAAAGATCTCAAATAATACAGTACCGATCCACGACTCTTCGAAACATGTTTGTCAAATTCTTTTGTTTTGTTTAAGGATCTTACGAGAATGATATTCTCATCATTTCCTCTATTAGAGTGTTTCCTTTCGGCATTAATCGTTGAGATGCTTCGCAAAGCGCACGTAGAATACATGTCCTGCCATCAAAACCCATCCTGAAAATATAAGAGAAAATGAGATGTAAAATTGTAATATAAAACGACGCGTTTTTTTAAAAAATATCTATTCGAAATTTTAGATATCCGAATCATTCTTTCATTTATCGTTATTTTTTCATAAAACAATAAAAAATTTGAAATTACGAAAAGTAGAAATGTATTGTTACATCCTTAGCCATGAAAAATCGGTTGGATGTCGGACGGTCCGACACAGCTTGATTATTATAGATCAGCAGGAAAGGGCCTTATAAAGGCAATATTACGAGATGAACGGTTTTATTTTGATTAGTAACAGTCGAAAAAGGATTAATCCCAGTAAACACTAACCAACAATAACATGACATTAATGTTATAATTTCCCATTTAACAACGTTACTGTAACATAACATATTTTATTAATTATTATATTGTTGAAGATATTGTTGTTGTCAGAAATTATAACAATGACGTTATGTTACTGTTGGTTAGTATTTGATGGAATGTTATTCTGTTACCAAGTCGACCGCTCATTAGTTCCTTTTTCGATCAAAGAAATTAATTCCTATTATTCGAGACTGAACCTCGTGTAATTTTAGAGGAGAGTGAATGAGTGGAAAAAGTCTGCTTTTAAACAAAAAAATAAAAAAATTTATTTAAGAATTTATTTCATATTGTTTAATCATATTAAATAAAGAACGAATGTAATTTCTACAACAGTAATTGAAGTGACAATAAGAAAACTTGATATTTTTAGTTATATAAATTTTTATAATTTTCTTACTCGTTAAAATAAACGCTTGTATATGTATGTATGTGTAATAGATGAGGTTATATAGGATTACGTTGGGAGTTCGTCTGGGGCGTCGATGAATTCTTCAAGGGATACGTCCTGAAGTTGGTCAGAAGGGCAAGTAAAGATTAGGGATGGGCAAGGTGAGTTTTTTTATAAAATAGAAGAAAGGTAATAGAATGGTTCGAGTGAAGAAGACGGAAGATTTGGCATATGTGCGCGAATGGTTATATTAGTCTTGCGGTTTCCTCCGGTGTAGCGAAATTCGCCTATGAATAACTTTTCTTAATGCGTAGCGGAAATATGGTGAGGGAAAACTGTGAAGAAATCCCAATAATTATTTTGATTTTGAACCTTTAGCCTCGACGATTTTGGTTGATGATTAATTCATTAAAATTATACCGCGATTTTTAGAAGCGACTCTGCTAAATAACCCGATAAAAAAGGAGAGGAGGAGGATAATGAAATTGTTCCGATTTTATCGAATGGAGATATAATATTAAAAGCTTACTATTTATGTGAGATATTCGAAAGTCTGTTTTGCGAGTAGAAGAGCCAAAGTCAAAAGCCACACCAATTGACGTAGAGAAGAAGATGGATGATTCCCACGAATTAGTTAACTTTTTGTTCAAATTGAAATTTCACTTAACAGCGAAAACTTGAGTAAGAACTAAGTGAGAAAATAAGTGAGACAGTGAAACTGAATTGAAGAATAGTATGTAAATCAGAATCGTGAGTTAGCTTGGTGGTCGAGAGCTCGGCTTTTATACTCTTTTTTGGAGTAAAATTTTAGTTTCAGGATTTTTATGTAACTTAGGGACGTGATTTGAGAAATCAATAGTTTTATATTTTTTTAATGTCTCTATTATATTGCAATTTATAACGTTGCAATATTGCTACAATTTGAAATGTTCTGATTCCACTATCTTTTTTATATTCTGAATTGTATATCCGACATCTGATTTTCATCTTCTTTTCATTCTTTATTCAGTAATGTCACGAAAAGAAAGAAAGAACGTAGAGTAATCTCTTGGATGTAACGGTATAATCATTTCATGTTTAAAAAATGTTTCATAATGGATTACGTGTTCCGTTGACAGGAAGAATGAATATAATATGAGAGATTATTCTCTCTAATTAGAAACTCATAAATAAAATTATTATAAATAATGCCTTATAAGTTCAAGATGGTCAATAAATATGTCCATAAATGTATGGTTTACAAAAAAGGGTAGAAGATGGAAGAGAGAAATTCATCTTTCCAGCAGCAAGCTTTGAGCCGGCGTTTTAGTTGTAAGGATAAGGATCTCGCAGATTTTCTCATCTATCGTAGATCTTATTTTGCCAAAGATTAAAGGACGTCTTTGAAATTGTACGATCAAAAGTTTTAAAAATCCGATTCGTCTTCCATCAAATTCAGCCTTGATCTGTCGAAGTTGCCTCCTTTGTAATACCCGCGGATTGCCAGGTCGCGATAGCAATTTTTCTGACTTATCACTGCCACTTTGCGGCCGCGGAAACCTTAGGGAGAATTTGCAGGATGGAGACAGCAGTTATCAGATTTCCCCGTTGACTGCAAAGCCATACAAGAAAGAAGAATATTATAGGATGCGTGTTCTTTTGGATGATCGATAAATTTTATTCTAAATAAATTCTATTTTCTTCTGATAGAAAGGCAAAAGATTTTCAAAAACACGAATTATCCAAATTTAAATATTCTGCAAATTTAAATATTCAATTATTTTATGATCTAAACATTTCACACAATTTCTAATTGTTTTAATATTCTCTTTCGAGAATTTGAGAAACACAAAATTGATATTTTGATGTATATATTTTCTTTTCGTATGAAATCAAAGCATATTTTAGACTTTATCTTTCTTCGGAAAGATTAAATATAACAATTTAAATTTTTTATATATTATAAAAAAAAAGAGAGATTAATGTTGATCAGGAAAATAAGATAACGAGTTATTTATCGTAATTGACGAACCCGAACGCATTTTACGATAATTTAAGAAAATCATTTATTTTGGAGGGTCCTTTGCAAAGGGCGAAATTTAGCAGAATGGATCTTAAAGAGATGAGATGGAATTAATACCATCAATTTGATAAATCGCTCTGATATGCCATCTTATCTCGCTCGTTCTTTTACGTTATATAAATGCCACCTATTAAAATATTTTATTTATATAGCTATCGATTTACGAGTATTAAATGGTTTAATTTTTCTCAATATAACATTTTTTTTTCAATATGGTACTATTACAACTGAATCAAACTCATCTAGTAACTTCTCTTTCGTATATTATTGCTGGGGTATAACCCAATGGTTAATCCCTGTACATTTTATAACTGATTGTTCCTATAATTGATTAAGTGACTTTGGTTGTTTTGGTCTTTGGGTTACAGGCTTCGTTTGCGTTGGCTGGTTGCCGCTAAGTTGTTGCGTCTTTGTAGGCTTCATGATAACCGCGTGTGGATCCTTTTGATTTTTGGATTTTCCACGATAAATACGTTTCGCTTTCACTTTCATACGGAAGGGGTTTGGAAAGCAAATTATATATTATGTCGTTGATGCAATGACAACGTTTTAACACAATGTAGTGTGTTATATGCGTGAGTAAGTTCTATAAAGATTTTTGCTGTGAATAACTTTCGTCCAAAATTTACCAAGGATTCTGATGCGTGAACTTCGCTCCAAGAAACTTGGGTTTCTCGATATAATATGATATAATTTAAATATATGCATATATATATTTAAATAAAACTACGGACTCTCTGGTTGTGGGAGAAATATTAATTATAGAATTTGAATTATTTAATTATAATTATTATTAACCCTTACTATTAGCTTACTATTAGCTCTTACACTTTCTCTTTGTATTTCAAACAATTACTATTTTATTGCTAAATATTTTTTTTTAACAAAAAGAAGAAAATATTCTCAATTATTTCGCACTACAGATCACATTCTCGAAAGATTCTTTTGCTAAGCTACCGCAATCTAACGTTATAAGGATTTCCGAGTTAAGTTCTTTCAAGTAAAAACGCTCAATGGCTCATTGCCGTGGCCTTATTTCGGGTGGAAACGGAGTGCCGAAAATAATCGCATCTCCCTGGCGGAGGGTATAAATCTGGTTATGGCCTCGAAACGCGGAAGAGAGAGAAACTATTTTCCCATGGTCGTTGGCCCGAAAAACGGATAAATGGTCCGCCAGACTCGTTCAGAAACAACCCCCTGCCGTCGCTATCGGGCCACCGTTCCGCGGCCGTGGAAGAGCCACCCTCTGATTCATGCCACCTTTAAGCCGCACCAACGGCACCACCACCCCCGACCGATCCCTTATAAACCACCGGCGACGTACCCTTGCACACACAGACGCATATACACGCACACACATACATACATACAATCATACACACACAATACGCATATACATACGCACACAACCCAGGCATTCTATAGCGACCGCTATAAGACTCCGGGCATAAACCATTACTTTAACATCTTCTCCGCGAAGGGATGAATGATTTCGTGCGGATATTAGCCACAATATTCTAACGCGCGCCTTGTTATCCCGGGCAGGGCGAAATAAACGACATTGCTAAATGTCGTTCAATAAATGTCTTTTAAAGCATCGTGAGGGGTGCAATAAACGCGTTCCCTAAATTATGTGAGATTCGACAAATGGGCTTTTTTTGTCATTTTCTGACGTCAGTTGCCAGTTATTTGTCTTGCATGAGTTATAAATAACATAAATTTATCTTTTTATTAACGTGCTGCGGTGTTTTCTAAATGGAATTATTTTTCCTCATTTAGAGTCGAAGAATTATGATACGAAAAAAGACATACTTTCTCGAAAAGATAATTGATTTGGACGAATTAGAAGAAAGTTTTGATAGAGCATTTAACCAAAGAAAAGCTAAATAGATATAATAAATCAATATATAGATACAGATAAATATCATGAATAATTCAATGAAAGTACAAGTTGAAATTGTTTTTTGCTATCATGCGGATATAAAACACAATGAAATGTGATCCAGGTATAAAAGATCCTTGAATATTTAAGCGGACATCTTATATTCTCGTTCTTATCCATAATACATCCATATATAGTTATAATCCTGCACATTACCCAAAGTCATTCGGTATTGCTGTAATAAAACGTATCAATATCGGAATCATATTTTTTTCGTCAATTGTACGCATATCACATGAATTCATGCATTTTGCTATAGTAATTTATGAAGAAAATTGACATTAATAAAATCACCATTAATTTAAATGAAAATTCTTTAATTTATTCTCATATATTTAATTTGATTTATTGATTAATTTATATTTTTTTTGTTGGGGGATATTACATGAATTATTACCTGCATATAGTTTTTTCATCAAGCAATACATTTGACGTATAGTTTCCAATATATGTAAATTGTCGGAAAAAAAAAAAATAAAAGACTTAATATTGTGCGATATCACATGCGCTGATGATTGATATTAGCGTTTCGATAAAATGTAATTTAAATCTCCGTCGATTAATTAAAATTAATTGGCTGAATCCTGCAGAATGACCACGTCATACCCACCGTTCAGTGGTATAATATGACTTGACAAATTGTAAGCTCACGTGACGTGATAATAGCGTATCTCTACGTTTAGCCGACGACGCGCGGTCGAAGAGTTCAGTCTTGTCAAGCGTCATTATTGCGATATATCGGCTTTTCCCGGTTAATGCGGCTGATACGTCGGTACGCCGCGATAGATGACACGGAAGAAACTGAAGTACTTCGGGTCTCCATAAAGAGACAAGACGGCCGTTCGATCGTGTCAGAACCACTAAAGCAGCCGTTCTATTTTATTATCGAGCGCGTCTCTTGTCGTGAGCATGGAAATTCGTTGCTCCCCAAGACGCTGAAATCCAGGTTAATATATTCGCTCAATTTGAATGGATGACGGTAGGCGACGTTGATCCAGGGAAATTGTTGTCTTAACCGTCCGCGGACGCGAGTGTTATTAATTGTTAGCAAGAACAGGATTAATTGGATTGCAATTCAGATCGCATCGATCATTAATTTGTCTGTTTATTATCATAATCTGTTTGAGATGCTTAACTATTTGCATTATGAAACCGATTTTGCATGAAGAATTCTGCACGGAAACGAGCACTTAAACTTTAACTGGAACATCAGCTTTTGTCACTATTTAAGAAAAAATTTAAACGCTAAATAATATATTAGAAGAGCATTAAGAGCCGTCGCAGGACGTTAGTGCAAAAATTTTAATTTTTTCTTAAAGAAATTAATTATTTAGTTTACATGAGACAGTTAAATTGCACACCGATCTCAGATCGAGATACTTCAAGTGTACGAAAAGTTAAGTACATTGTTCTGACATATGGAGAATCATAATGTACTAATAGGAATTACGCTAAAATTGTTTTCTAAAATATATTTTTAATTGTGATAAGAATTTATTTAAACTCTTGTATGAAAATAGATATGTACTATCTATTGCCACGTAATGATATTTCTTTACATTTATAAATAACAGTGTTTTTCTCTTTTTTTTAAGTATAGAAAATAGCTCAGTTAAATCGTTTTGATGTAAGCTTTAACAATTTCACGAAGCACTTTTATCTATTCTAAATTTTACAGAAATAGTATGTTAATGAAGCTTCTATCGATCTGTGGCCAGAATACTTACGCATTCATGATGACCTCCAGTTTGTTGTAAAGGTCCCTCCGATGTCTCCTTTGCAAGTAATAGTATTCCGATTTGGGATACTTCTTTCTAACGGGTGCGAAGTGATGTCTGATGTTGTCATTCCATCCTGAATATTTTAAGGCGTTGTTTGTATTAGCGACTGCAATGGAATTGTACGCATTCTTCTTGTTGCCGGTTTTCAGTTTATCGTTTCTCAGCTGCAAGAAAGGCTCCAACGCGGGCTTGCTCTCGTTGGGCAGGTCGTAGGAAATACCCCAGTTAAGACCCTCTGTGAAAATGTTGTCCGGGGTCAGGGTGTGCACGGTCATGCAGAGAGCGATCTATGAACAGACCGCAAGTGCAGCGCTGCGTTACATTCGTGGTCTACCAGTTTGCCATTTCTTCGCTCTTTTGTACCTTCGTCATATTTATGAGCGTTAATATGCAATCTACAGGTTTTTTGACGAATCTCTTACCGCGAATAAATCAAAGAATACACGCGCGTTATGATTTTTTATCACCAATAGTTTTTAAAAGAGTTCGTGTTATATATGGCAAAAATTTTCTTTATAATTATAATTAAAAATTTTGCTTGACAGAAATTAATAAGTAAAACAAATTTTAAGAAACAATTTTTTATAAAATGAGTCTTTTCCGCAATCATTTATTATCGCATTAATCATTTGAATGATTAATGTCGAAAATAATCTCCGCTATAAAATAGCAATAAATAATAATTAAATAAAACAATTCTGCCACATAACTTTAGGATTGTGTACTGGCCAGTGCATTGAAACGATAAGCAATTAATTATCTAGTTCAGCGCTCGGAATTAGTTGCACATTTCGGGCCGATTTCCGAGACGACGCCTCCTGTTCCCCCACTACCGCCCGGCCGCTGGAGCCCGAGCCGCCGATAGCTCTGGCTCAGGAG